CCATATCCACCCTGTCAAGTCCACTCAGAATCCTTCGGATTTTAATAAGATCACCCACGTTCTTCTAAACTTCAATAAATTAAGGCCTAATCAATCCTACCTTTCCTCACAAGATAAATCCTTATTCCCAGAAGTCAGTCTGAGCTGCTTTTTATGTCCTTTCTGAAATAAGGAGCCTGAGACTGTATACAGTACTCCAGATGTGGTCTCACCCATGCTCTGTATAATTGTAGTGAAACGACCCAACTCTTATGTTGTATTCCCCTCACAATGACATTCCATTTGCCTTCCTAATTACTCTGTACCACAGACATCTTCAGTCTCTCTGCTTTTCTGTTCTTTCTGCCAAAATGGACAGGTTTGCGTTTTCCCACATCATACTCCATCTGCCAATTTTTTACCCACTCACTTAACCCCTTTATATCCTTTTACAGTCTCCCTACACAGGTTCCTGATCTTCACAACTTACTTTCTTACCTACATTGAAATGCTGGAGAAACTCAGCAGATCTGGTATCATCAAGCCAGTATGTCTATCCTTCAGAATTCTGTTTCCAGTTCCAAAGAATCATATCAAACTTAAAACGTTACCTTTGCTTGTCTCTCCATAGATGAAGCCAGACTTGCTGAATTTCTCCAACACTTTCTATATTTGTTTCAGGTTTGCAGCATTCCCAGTATTTTGCTTTTACATTCCTACCTACTTTTGTGTCATCGGCAAATTTAGCAATTGTAGATTTGGTCCCTTCAAGCAAAATGTAGATAGCGATTGTAAACAGTTGAGACCTCAGCTCTGATTCCTAAGGGACTTCACTCACTACATGTTACCAACCCAAAAATAATTCATTTAGACTAATCGTCTGCTTCCTTTTGGCTAACTATGCTATTATATTGCTTCCTACACTATAAATTCTTACATTGCATCATAACCTTTGATATGACACCTTGTCAAATGCCTTCTGGAAATGCAAGCAAGACACATGTACAGATCATTATCTGGCACTTGTGGGGTGTGAATGTTACTTGCCACTTAACAGCCCAGCCTGAATATTGTCCAACCCTTGTCGCATATGGACATGGGCTGCTTTAGTGTCTGAAGAGTCTGAACAACAGTAGTGAATACTGTGCAATCATCATCAAACATCTCCACTTCTGACTTATGATGGAGGGAAGGTCATTGGACCTAGGAAACTAACCTGAGGAACTCCTGCAGAGATATCCTGAAGCTGAGATGAATGACCTCCAGCAACCACAACCATAATCATCTCATTTTATGACTTCAACTGGCAGAGAGATTTTCCCTGATTCCCATTGTTTCCACTTTTGCCAGGGCTCCTAGATGCCAAATGCAGTGGATCTGGTGGATCCCAACATGAACATCTCTGGATGCTGCCAGAGATGCTGAGTTTTTTGCAGCACTTCCTGTGTTTATTTCGGATTTCCAACCTCCACAATATTTTGTTTTTATATCAGTGAGCGCATGGTTGTTTTGCAAGTGCTGGATTGATAGCACCGTTGATGAACACAGCCCAGTCCATCATGCAAACCAACCTCCCATCCATTGACTCTGTCTATACTTCCAGCTGCCTCAGGAAAACAGTCAACATCATCAAAGCCCCCTCCCACCCTGCTTACACTCTCTGTCACCCTCTTCCATCGGGCAGAAAATATAAAAGTTTGAATACACGTATGAACAGATTGAAGAGCAGTTTCTTCTCAGCTGTTAACAGATTTTTTGACAGTCCTCTCAAATTTTAATTCTGTCCTCTCTCTCTCTGCACTTCCTCTGTGGTTGTAACACTGTGTTCTACACTCTGTTCTGCTACCTTGATGCATTTTGTATGGTACAGTCTGCCTGTATAGCACACAAAACTACACTTTTCACTTTATTTTGGTACGTGTGACAACAATCAAATCACCAACACTTCGTTGACGATCAAGAGTGGATCGATGAGGTGTTAATTCAACAGATTGATTTTGTCCCGCTTTTTGTGGATAAGATGTACCTGGGCAATTTTCCATATTGTCAGGTAGATGCCAATGTTGTAGCTGCACTGGAACAGCTTGGCTAGGCATGTGGCCACTCCTGGAGACATCAGTTAAAATGTCAATGGTATTTGTCTCTGTGTCAAGCTGTCCCAGGTCAGGTTGAGTGCAGCATAAATCTTCCTCCTTCAGACAGTTGGATAGAGAGAGAGGCCACAAGAGTGGTCAACCTGGGAAACAGAAATATTGCCCTGATGAAGCAGAAGGGTGGATTTAGACTGTGACTAACTGTGACGTAGCTGACTGAGGAGTCTCTGACAGAGTGCTGGATTACAGGCTAATCCTTGCAGAGAAACCCTCCTGCCCTCTGGAAACTCGGGTCAATTCCACTCCAGAATCATTTCACATTCAGATCTGTACAGCGAGAGGAAGACCTTGATTAAAGATGGATCTCGGAGATAAAAGAGCAGCCTGCTTTCCCACAGTCCAAGCTCACATATTTCCATCACTGATTCCTTTCTGTGTTTTATCCTGTTAATTCTGATTTATTTCCAACTGTTTTAATCTTGTCGATTGCCTCAGCCTAATCTGCTTGATGCTTGTAGTCACCCTGAGCCCTCCAGGTAGAAGGAGGTAAAGCCACACTTTATTTTAAATAAGTTTTCTCTTGTTGCATTCATCACGTACCATCACTGCTTATTCCTCACATCTACCGCCTGCGGGGATAAACCTTTTCAGCCGTTTCTTGTTTGGTTTCAAGCTCCCATCTCCATTATGATGCTGTCCTGCTCGGTCTATAAATAAGGAGTTTATTTAAACTCCCCCTCTACTCATTCCTCTCACAGATTTTAATGCAATGATTGTGTCATATAAATCACACTGCTCTCAGGAAAATGAGCGGGTTTCCTTCACTCTGTCCTTGTAGCAGCTATGAATGAGCTGCAGAATCATCCCACAGCAGTCTTCCTTTGTAATTGTAAGCCTCTAAGCATGAATTTCATGGGAAGCTCAATAAATTTCGGTAGGGAGAAAGGAATGGATAGTCTGATAGTGTGTGATCGAATGGAGTAGGAGGAGATTGATGTGGAGCATAAATAGCAACATGAACCTATTGACCTAGCATTGCTGTCTTGGGCTGAACAGTCTAGTTCTGTGCTGTAAATTCTAAATAATCCCAAAAGAAAATCAGAAATGAATTTCTTTAAGAGACATTGCACACAAAATATGCATCAAAATGGCCCAACCGCTGCCTATAAATGTCATGCAAATCTCATCCTTTCTTTATGGCCACTTCCTATTTAAAAATTAAAATAAAATTAACAATAGAAATAGACTACTAGGTCTTGTTCACTGACCTACATACGGTATTGTTGACAATGCTTAATTGAAATTGTTTGGTGCAAATAAATGAATGACGATTAACTGTCAGTTCCAATAGAGCAGAGGTGTTGTCTTGACTCTCGTTTCCATTTAGCCTTTAATTTATTTTGCCTCGTTTCACCAAACCGCTTGATTCTTCACAATATTTCTTCTCCTTCTGTATCACACAGCCCCTGCCTCTGCTGTACACCTGTGTTTGCAACATGTCACAGTTAACCAGAAATTGACACCTCGTTGTAGTCTTCCCAATGGGCACTGACCTATTACCCTGAACTCTCCCTTTCAGGCCTGCAGGTCCCCCCGGAATACACATCCAGGAGAGGCTTCTCTCTCTCCCTCTCTCTCTTGCTTGCTTTCACACTTTCTGTCTCTCTCTTTTGCTCCCTTTCTGTCTCTCACTCTCTATCTCGCCCTCTGTCTCCCTCTCTCACTTTCTCTCTCTCTCCCATTCTCTTTCTCTCCTCCTTTTGCTCTCTGTCTCTCTCCCCCTCTCCCCCTCTCTCTCTCCCCCCCTCTCTCTCTCTCTCTCTCTGTCTTTCTCTCCGCCTCCCCCCTCCCCTCTGTACTGCCTTCTGCCCTCGGTGATCCATGGTGACTCCAGCTGTGCTCAGGCTTGTGTTTGAGCAAGACCAGCTGGAGACACCTTGAGCACATGTGGTGACCCAGCACGTACAAGACAGCCCTGAAGTTGGTGCAGGAGTTACAAGCTACATGGCTCAGACATCTATGGATGATGGAATAGGAGAGCTCTTGGTTTTAATTAAGGAATACCTCCCAACCTGTGCTTGTTTATTTTAATTTGTTCATTGGATGTGGGCGTCACTAGCCAGGCCAACATTTACTATCCCTGATTGCCCAGAGGACAGTTAAGAGTCAACCACATTGCTGTGGGCCTGGAGTCACACGTAGGCCAGACTGGGTAAAAGACAGCAGATTTCCTTCCGTAGGGACATTAATGAACCAAGTAAGTCTTTACGACAAATAACTACAATTTCTGGTTGCCATTCTTTATTCTGGACTTTTTATTGAATTCTATCTGCCATGTCCCCGGAACATTAGCCTAGGGTATTTGGATTGATAGCCCAAGGACACTACCACTCCATCACCACCTCACCCTTAACGCATTCATTTGCTTACTGTTACACTAACCCCTAATTAAATGTTTTCAATTTCCTAAAACCTAATTTCACTCGAATCTCACCCAAAAGGCAGTGCATCCAGCATTACCGCATACCACACTCGAGTGCTAGAGCCATTATACTGTTGTACTATCAATATAATGGGTGTGACTTTGAGCTGTACCATACAGAAGGGTCCCCTGTAGTTTGATCGCTGGTCAGTTCTTTTTGTTGATCGCTGTAGGGAAATGTTACAGTCATTCCCAGAGGCCCTGTTCCTGATCTCGACACTTCAATCTATCCCCATTTCAGTTCCCTGGAAGTAAGCATGTGGACTTCAGGCCTGTGAACACAACCTTTGCCAGTGTTACCAGCAGCACACCTCCAAATGACTCCTACTTTGGTTGCACTCTTGTGGAGTGCCTCCCGTGGTATAGGCGCTATGTAAATGCAATTTGATGTTGAATGTGCAGTGTTGTTTTCCAGTTGCTGACTGCTGTTTCCTTCTGTTTGTCAGCACGTGGAATTCCAGCTCCGGACTCTCAAAGTGCCGTACATCATTGTACTGTTATCCGAGATCTTCCCAGACAAACTCCGGCTTTTCCAAGAGGTCGATGCGTAAGTACAGCTGCAGTTCACATTGGGATACTCATTCAGCAAGCTATGGGACTACATCATTTTGTCCTACATGGCAGCTGACTATAAGCCAGGGATATAGTTTATAGAGAGATATTGACAGGTTAAGTAAGTGGGCAAAATGCTGTCAAAAGGAGTATAATGTGGGGAAAATATGAAGCTTCCTGGATTTTGGAAGTGAGAACAGTAAAACAGTATTGTTTAAGTGGAGAAAAACTGCAGAAAGCTGCAAACAAAGGAACTCAGGGGTATTTGTTCACAAAATGCAGAAAGCTAGCACTCAGGAGCAGCAGGTAATCAGGAAGGCCAATGCAATGTTGGCCCTTATTTCAAGGGGGTTAGAGTATAAGAGTAGGGAAGTCTTATTGCAACTGTACAAGGTGCTCATGAGACCACATCTGGAGTACTGTGTGCAGTTTAACGAAAGATTTCATTTCATTGAAGGCAGTTCAGGAGAGGTTCACTAGGATCATCCCTGGCACAGAGAGATTGTCTTACAGGCAAAGGCTAAACAGATTGGGATTGTACTCACTGGAGTTTAGAAGAATGAGAGTTGATCATATTAAAGCATTTCGGATTCTTGAGGGGATTTGTTGGGGAGAAATGTTAAAGAAGAGTCTTGAGTTCTCCATTTAGCAGCACAATCGATCTTTATTCAGAGCTGTTTTACCAGAGACCTCTCTGAATCTGGCTTTCACATGGAGCCCAGTAGCCCTTTCTAAAACGGCTTAGTTCAGAGGAGAGGTGAGCAACACTCTGGCTTCCTCAGTTAAACACAGTATTTTTATGCATTTCATGTCACTATAAACATAGTCAACAGTGATGTCATTGTTCCATCTCCCTGATCTGTGCATCCAGTCCTGTAAAACAGCTGATCTATGATGGGCACCCCTACAGACACCCTAGGTTCCCCATGATCCAATGACATTTAGCAGACATCGTTATCTTCAGGCCTTGGGATTTTACAACGTACCCCATTAATTTACATTCCAGTATGAATGGTCACATTCTTTCTCAGACATTTGCCAGACTTGTTTATCTCTAAGGACTGTTTGAATTATGTTACTCATTGTATTTGTTGCTACCCGTAATAAATTCTGTTACTCATCTTATATTTCCTATTGTCCTAATCACAGGCGATAGAAAAAGATGCTAATTCATAATATTCACTCTACCTAGGTACATGTGACACTAATAAATCAAATCAAATCAAAAAAAAGTTGGTTATATGTACAGTTATACAGTTACACCTAACATTTGAATTCTTTAGCCATCAGATTGTGAGCAGCTTCAAACCCGCCTGACCTTGGAGGGTGAGGTGAACACTGGCCCTCTGTCTTCCAGCTGCAATTATAACTCCTGGTCACATGCTGCCTGTGTGTTTTAAATGGACGTTTGCTTCTAAGATGAATTTTACTGACCCTACTTAAACTATTTCTACATTGACACTTTTACTTAATAAGACAACATATATTCCATTAATAAGACTGAAACGCAATCACTTTCACAGCTCAATGAACTTGTCTGAAATCCTAGGGTTTTACAAGATATAATCTCGTTCTACTTTTACCTTATTATTTGTTTCTGTTATTGTGGGATCACACTTTTCTTTTAATTGTTGCTAAACTACAAATTTCAGGCTGTCTGTTCCCAGACATCTCTTATCGGATTGCCTCTTACAGACACCTGCAGATGTGGGTTTGTGCAGAACTTAGTTTGTAAGATTCTTCATTCTGCCTGGACCCAGTTACCTTGGATTTTTCTTATTCTCAATGCTACCATTATACTAACTAATGATCTCTCTTCAATTCTGAACTCAGCAAGCTAATATCTGTTACTGCAGCTAAAAGTCTTCTCTGCCATATTTATACAACTAAAAATCCACAAGCAGCCATCTTGTGCCGCGTCTGGCTATGGGCTGCCTAACAGACTTGACAAGTAAATGCTGAGAGTTTGCTTTCCCTCGTGAGAGAGTCTATGTCCAGAGGGCACGGTCTCAGAATAAAGGGGCACTAATTTAAGGCTAAGATGAGGAGGAGTTTCTCCTCTCAGAGAGAGTCTTTGGAACTCCTTGTCACTGAGAGCTGTGGAGACAGAGTCCTCATGGCTGAGATATGATGAGAATGACCAAATGGATCGCTCAACACCCACGGTCTGCTTCATTCGTCGAAGAGTTTATTGCTTTACACCGGTGGGCAGCCCAGGCACCTCTCCACTGAACAAAGGAGATTATACAGTTTGAATGCAGTTTAAAGGTACAGGTACTCAGGCCATCTCAACTGGCGGCTGTCCAATCAGTTCAGGCTCTCTGCATCACATGGCCATGAGATCAGGGCAGGGTCTGCAGTTCATCCTGTGCCACATTACAGGTGTGGGACCTTGGACCTGTTTTCAAGTAGAGTGCTCCACATCAGCATTCCTCATCGTATCTAACCACTTCCTGGCTTTCCTTTAGGAGCCGTTGCAGCCATACATGGTTGGCAGAGCTCACGAAACCCCTTATGTGTATTATCTTAAACTTGTTTCTACTGAGACTACCATTACTTTACTTGAAGTGTGCCGTCTGTTTGAAATGAACTGGAGGAACCTTGCTTCTTTAACTGAATTTTTCCTCCAGCCATTTTGTTGCTGCTTCTGCCCTGTGTTGCCCCAACAGACATTGCTTGTTGGGGGAATCAAAGGTTACTGAGAAAATGCAGGAAAGTGGATGTGAGGGAAGTCGGATTTGCCACGATCCTGTTGAATGGTGGAGCAGGCTTGAGGGGCCGAATGGCCTACTGCTGTTCCCATTTCTAATGGACTAACTGGATACACATTTGAACAGGAAATGATTATGAGGCTGTGGGGTAACGGCAGAGCTATAGGACTTGTTGGGTAACTCCTTTCATGTATAAGCACATATACAGTGAGCTGAATGATCTCTGTGTGTGCTATGAGCTTCTGTGAGGAGATGTGGAAGCAGAACTTGCCTGGAGTACATGACACATCTGCTCTGCAGCCAGGGAAATGTAAGGGGAAGATTATGTTTGGGTTGCAACAGAAGAGCAAACTGGAGGGTATGCCAGATAGTGGAAGGACCCATGAAGCCTGCCAAAATGTCACAGAATCACAGAGGAAGCCATTTGGCCCGTCATGTCTGCACTGGCTCACCGAATGAGCATCGTGACTTTGTGCTGTATTCCCGCCTTTCTTCCCGTAATGCCACACAATGTTTTTTTCAAATAATGACAATAATTAGATAATTATCCAATGCCTCTTGAATACCTCAACTGAATCTGCTTTCATCAGATTTCCAGGTAGAGCATTCCATACCCTAATGACTCGCAGTGTGAAAAAGTTTTCTCTCGCCTCGCTTTTGCTTCTTTTGCAAATCTATTGCAAAATGCTTTAAATCCATGCTCTCTCATTCTTGATCCTTTTACGAGCAGGAACATTTTCTCCATGGCCATCCAATCCAAATCTCTTATGATTTTGAAAGTTACTATCAAATCTCCTCTTAGTCTTCTCATCTCCAAAGAAAACAAATCCTAACCTCTCTGATCTATCTTCAAACAAAATTGCTCATCCCTGGAACCATTCTCTTCTGTACTCTGTCCAGGATGTTCAAATCCTTCCTGAAGTGTGACATCCAGAGGTATACACGATGTTCTAGTTGAGGTCTTATACTTAAGGCACTATGAAATGTGAAATTTTTCAGGTTACAAGACCATTCTTTAAAAAGAGATATAGAGCTGTTTGATCATGAACTATCAGGGAGATGCATGATTGAAGGGTGGAGGAAGGTGGTGTATCCTACAGGGGAATAATAAGGTCTTTTTCACTTTGTGCCTTTATAACCAGAACATCAAACCATTTACCTTGAAATTGACACAGCAGGGGACTTGGAACAACGCAGAGATGATAGAACAGTACAATGCAACGTGGAAAGAGGCCATTCAGCCCATTGAATCTGCACTTGCTCTTTTCAAGAACACCTCCTCTGCTCTTACCCTATATCCCTGTAATTGTTTTTTTCTCCTTCAGTTATTTATCCAATTCCATGTTAAAGGCTGCTATTGATCCTATAGCCACAATCCAAAGAAGCAGCGCACTCTAAATGCTAGACACTTATTTCATCATAACCGTTTTCCCTCACCGGATTGAACAGACTATTCTCTAGAGAGTTGCATAAACTCTGTGTTAAATGGTCTCCTTGAGGTACTAATCACCCTACGGCAATGGATCAAGATTCTTTTGCTAGTCGCTTGTTTGTCCTCTGGTTATTGATCCTTCAGCCACTGGAAACTGTTTCTCCTTATTTACTCTTATTACATTGTTTTATAAATTTGAATACCTCTGTTAAGTTTCCCCTTAACCTTCTATGCTTTAGGAGAACAGTCCCAGCCTCTCTACTCTCTCCATGTTAATGAAAGTTGCTAGTTTATCGTCACTGTGATAGATGGACCACAGTTATCTGCTGAAGGGACATGGGGCTGTTAAACATTGCTGCTGTTCTCCAGGTCAGCAGCTGTTCATCATTATGGAAATCTCAGATGTATCCTGTCTCTCATCTCCCTGGCGTTGCTGTAAAGTTGCGATATTGATTGCAGACTGAGTTCCAATGATAACAGTGCGATCCAAACACTGTAAATCTTCCCTTCCAAAAGCACAAATCTTTTCAGATTTCTTTCCCCCCATCTGCCCCTAATGTCTGCATACAAGTTTATAATGGCACAAAGAGGAGGCCACTCAGCCCATCTGTTTAAGAGGTGTCCAGTCTTCTTAGACAGCGCCTCAAGAACCCTCCCACATCCAGCACGGGGGATAATTGACACACTTTTATTCAAAATTGTGCCAAGGGCCAACTTATATTTACTCGAGAGAGTAAACACGGCCTCAGTTTAGCTTCATACCTGAGGTCAGCACCTCTGACAGTGCAGCACTCGCTCAGTACCACACTGAGTGTGTTAGTCTGTACTATTGTGTTCAAGCCATGGTAATTT